TGCTAGGACTTTCTTAATTAACTTAATCCCCTGTGATACGCTCAGGCGTCAAGTAAGTGAGAGTGGCAGGAGGCCACAGAGCCCATCAGCCAGACGTCACACCTAAATGAGACCATACATGCGTGGAGCTCGAGTTATGTGAACGCTCATGTCATGTCCGCTAGTACACCTATGCCTATTCCCATTTGGTTTGATTTGGACGTCCCATAAGTACATGATCAGAGAGAGAAGAATGCAAGGCCGACCTACCACATTTATTCCTCACTAAAAAAGCTTTAAACTTATGAGAACGTGCAAACTTTCGTAGATTTTACCACTAACAATTGCTGGGTTAATTCGCTTCTAAATTTGGAGAAGAATCAGATTGAGCTTACTCGCTATTAATGATCATATTATTAATCATTAGGCACTAGAAATGAAGGATTTTATTAAAATACGTTTTTGTAAATGTGGTGACTTTGTACGAACCGTCATAACTGGCTCTGAGCAGACGTGGGACTTCCGGGACCAGCCTTATGATGATGAAGTGACGCTGACTGAGGCAGACACCTGACCTAGTCGAAATTCAAATAACTGACAAGGGTCAAAGGCGAACACAATTTTAAAATACTTTTTAATGACTTCCACAGAGACCACTGAGCTTGTCTGAACACCAAAGGTCTCTTAATACAGCACGATGGGGAAAACAAGGGTAAACTTCACCAGAACCTACCCTCTTCCTGCTAATGTGCTTTAACAGTTAGAGTTTGCATGTCATTTAGAAGCTGAGTAAGTACATACTGCAGAAAAATGCGATCGGTTCTAAGGAAAATTACGGCATGATTCCAATTGTCTTGCAAACATTGTATCGTTGCGTAGTTGGTACATCCTCTAGTCCGCATGATACAGACCATGCTAATGCGGAGGTTGTAAGCATTCACATTCTGAAAGGTGCTTAATAAGATTGCTAAATATCTATGCGGTTCTCACGGTTGTTATGGGGAAGAGAAAGAACTTTAAAGCAGCGAACAGAATCAAAGTAAGCTTACGCCAGAGGACATCCCAAAGATATCCGAAAAGGGATCAGTGCCTCCGAAGAACATTCGAAAAGTGTTAAAGGGATTGAAGTCTTTTGCAAATGGCTTGAAAGTGTTTGTTCTCCCAGAAGTTCCTGCGCGAAGGCCTTCTTCACCGAACTGATCATAAATTCGTCTTCGCTCAGAGTTAGAAAGTATCTGGAAAACCGTTAGAATAAATTCAGCTTTAGTATCATTCTACTGTGCTTTGTCATCGACCATGAACCTTCTTGGATTACACACCAACAAAGGTTTGGCTACATTACATGTGGTAGGCCGTTAGCAAATCTGACATGGGATCAGCAGTAACAGTGAAGCGGAAAGGTTCAAGCCTAACCAGTCCAGTAACTATATTAACTATTGGTAGCAACAACCAAGTGTGCGATCACAACACTGAAGACTTCGCTAGTCTATGACCCTTAATCACAAACATTAAAACATGCACAAACAATCGTTCTGGTCATTCGGGATACAACGAAGATACGGTTGTTAAGAATACAGCCTATCAGCACGTTTTGCGTGTAAATCTTCTCACTGGCCCACAGTAACCTAGATAATACAAGGTAGCTCTTTATAAGCAGCGTTTTCGGATTAATTCTCCCTAAATCAACTGACTTATCGCAAAGAAAACCAATTTTCGGCTGCTACGCGAATTATGTTCGACGACCATTAACTTGGGAAAAGCAAAAATAGTCCTTTAGGGCATAGGATGAACAGTTATCATGCAGACCGAACGGAATTCTCACGCAATAATGCGAACGAAAACTAAATCGTTTTCATTTCTGTTATTATTATTATAATTATTATTGAAAAGGGACGTGGTAGCACATTCAGGATCGGCCAATTGCGATTTTATCCAACGTCAGTACAAAAGGGATCAAGCAATACACCCCGTCTCTTCTGAATATACTCTTCAAGTGAATTTCTACTAACAGATCCTGAGCACATCAAAAAGCCGCGAATAACGTACGGGTATGTTGTCCTCTCACCAATCATTCCATATCAAATCCACTCGCGCGAAGATTGTTGTATAGTCAGCTTCTAAATGGCAAATTCGGTAACTGCGTGACAAATTTGAGCGCAGCGTTTGTTAAAGGCTAATTTCTGGCGAACAAGTCCTGCACGATTTCGAAATGACAAGTATGTAACCTTCAAACGCGGATAAATTTTAAGTGCCCCACTTTATTATACAAACATGTGTACTGGATTTATATTCCACTGGTTAGAAGAAGCGTGTAGGCTCCTTTAAAAAGATATATGTGCCTTATCCTCCTCAGAGACGGGATCAAACTCTCCCCTCCACATCTCAGATCTGAACCCCAATCTCTTGAAGCAATTGACGGCCGTCCTGAGATGAAAATTGCATACCCTCGTACAGCCGTGGATATTTTTGTAAAACACCATCAACGTTGGATTTCAGACACAAGTCGCTTGATAACATTCAGGAATTGAACTGATACTCACTTCATATGCCTGTGCAATCTCTTTAAAGCGGGCCTCTGCTTTAGGATCATCATTCTTATCGGGATGATACTGCAAAGCCAGTTTTTTGTAGGCTTTCCTAATATCCTCGGTCGAGGCCCCATGAGGGACTTCCAACAATGCATATAGATCGGATCCCATCCCCGTACCACGTGCTTTGCCTGCTCCGCTTTCCTGTTTTGCCGCTTGTACTTATGTACATTGTCATCAACGCGTTATCGATCGGCCACATTTGAAACGCCCACGTGACGGTCACGTTACACTAACAAAAGTTTCAAGAGAACCCTCGGAACGTTAAGACGAGGTACTACACCTGTGTTGTCAGCATGGCACATAATTACTTATTTATATAATATCGACTGATTGTTGGCAGCCTGTGAAGATCCCGTGAGTATTTTGTAGTAGCTGATGTAGTTCAGCTCAAATATTCCTACAAACTTTCAGACCGCACCCGATATTATTTATTCCGACGGATTTACTGCCAGTTCGCGAATTAACTTCCTAGGAAACTTAACAAGCCGTTAGTAAACTAGGTCTTTTATCTTTTTCTTCAACTTGATTTCGTGTTGAGAGCTGATTTGCGGTGACCATGTGACACAAAAAGTCAGTCCTTACTGGCCTAGACCACAAGCGACGCATACAATTTTCAATTTCAGTCACTATAGACTTCGCGAAGTTTCACTGCAAGAGTCGAAAACGCTGGACCGACCACAAAATTAATGGCTAAAAGTTAATTTATAATATTGCTCACTAACTGATCAGTGACATGTTATATCAGTTGCCAAAACGCTCTAAAAATGTCACTAAAAAGTCGCCTGTTTAGTGAGGAGAGATAACTATCTGGAGGCGGCCATACTAACTACGTCCTGGAAAAGAGCCCTGAGGCAAAACATGGCAGGCATGGCCCCTGCTACAAACTTATCAATGAAGCTCCAGGACCAA